GAAAAACAAGAGAGGTAGTGTCATGAGAGACTATCTAGGAGCATACTTTCCTTGATGACTTTTCAGCATTTATTTGAAACATATTGCCTCTGATTGATTTTAGAAATACTCAATGTATTGACTTTTGTTATTTTACAAAATGTATTTTAATTGATAGAACTTTAATCTGCGTGCTAACAGAATGATTTGGAACGAGTAAGCAAAGAAACATTTCTCCAGCTCCTGGCTACTAAATATGTCAGTAAGGAATTCTGCGTATGGTGTTATTATCCCTAAAAAGGGATATTATGAAATTTTGTAGGAATTTAATAACCAGTATTTCTGGATGTTAAAACTCTAGGGTAAATACTACAACCAGGAGAACATAAGTGCACTGGAGTACATTAAATCCATGGGGGAATGCCCTAGAGACTTTAGAATTTTCTTGTATGCTGTACAACATTTATGTTCTGTTCTACATGTCAGTTTGTTTTGCAGATGTTGCTGTACATTCTTAAATCTTGTTTCTATTTCTGGCACTGCTTTTAAGTCTGACCCAAGTTTTTTCTTGAGGCCATCCTAAAAATAGAACTGGCTACTCATATTATTGTGAAATACACCAGAGGCATTCATAGTCACGCTGCATGACAGCTGACTTTGCCATGTTTTAATGCATGATTAGCGAAATTGAAGAGTTCAGTTTTACAGCAAGATTTCCTACCTACTTAAAACATTATCATATATGGCTGTTGTAACCCTCTTATTAAAGAGTAGTCATGATAAAAAAGCACAAGGGACAAGTTCATAAAACAGGTTAAAGAACGTAGTTAATGCCTTTCAAGGATGGTCTGCATCTTACAATTTTTAGGATAGGTTTATTTATTAAAACAATTTTACATTTGTGGTTATATTTTTTTAAAAGCAAATACTTTTTCAGCAATTATAAATAGCAATCTCTTGATAGTGCAGTTTTTCTGATTTGCTGCATGAGCCGTCTCTTCTTGAACTATGTGTTATAATGAAGCTTTTTTTAATTTCCCAAAGTCTCTCATAGAAAGTTTCACACTGTTAAGAACATAAGAATGGCCATACTGGGTCAGACCAAAGGTCCACCTAGCCCAATATCCTGTCTTCCAACAGTGGCCAATGCCATGTGCTTCAAAGGTAATCATCAAGTGATTCATCCTCTGTCGCCCATTCTCAGCTTCTGGCAAACAGAGGCTAAAGGTGCCATTCCTGCCCATCCTGGCTAATAGCCATTGGTGGACCTATCCTCCATGAATTTATTGAGTTCTTTTTTGAACCCCGTTGTAGTGTTGGTCTTCATAACATCCTCTGACAAAGAATTCCTCAGGTTGACAGTGCGTTGTGTGAAGAAATACTTACTTTTGTTTGTTTTAAACCTGCTGCCTATTAATTTCATTTGGTGACTCCTAGTTCTTGTGTTATGAGAAGGAGTAAATAACACTTCCTTATTTACTTTCTCCATACCAGTCATGATTTTATAGACCTCAATCATATCCCCGCTTAGTGGTCTCTTTTCAAACTGAAAAGTCCCAGTCTTTTTAACCTGTCCTCATATGGAAGCTGTTCCATCTCCCTAATAATTTTTGTTGCCCTTTCCTCTACCTTTTCCAATTCTAATGTATCTTTTTTGAGATGGGGTGACCACATCTGCACACATTATTCAAGATATGGGCGTACCGTGGATTTATTGAGATGCAATATTATATTTTCTGTCTTCTTATCTATTCCTTTCTTAATGATTCCCAACATTCTGTTATTCTCTGTGGTGAATTTATTTTTCATAATCTGTGTGTATGTGTTATCTATGGAATGCATATTGAATTTGAAAAAAATATTTTTCCAGCATAGATGTGTTTATATGGTGACACCAGATGGAATAAATAATAGTTATCATTCATACGTCCATAAATAATCTGTTGTTTAAAAGCACTTACTTGAATTGTCTGTTCCCTTTGGTTGTGTAATACAAATGTGTACTTTGTTTTAAACAGTTCGTGCTTAGGGCCCAGTATTGTTCCCATTGAAATCAATGACGGAAATCTGATTAACTTCAGTGGAAGCAGGCTCAAGCCTTTAGTGGTTTTCCTGGATAGCATGTCAAAATATTCAGCTTAAAATATTGAAGTTTTTTATTCTGCACTGAAAATCTTACTGAACAACATGGAGTAGTTTTGTATGCTGCATTGTAGTGTACCCTGTCCACCCTGATACTTTAAACAGGTGCTTTTCATACAAGAAATGTGATTAACTTTTAAGTTGAATTAAAATGCTTTTAAAGTGAATAGGTACCAAATGCTATTTTTAGGGCAAGAGATGATTAGCTGAATATCTAGGTAAGATGAAATGATAAATAATTTGTATCTATTTTTAATTGATTGCATTTATTTAGATTTATAAAGCAGATGCTCATCTTATTCTCTGGGTGTGCATATAGAATTAATTTTTCATAACAATATAAAAATGGTTGGATCATCCCACAAGCCAGTAAATGCACATAAAATATAATAAATAAAAAATGAAAGTCAGACATAGAAAATCACTTTGTATATTGCTTATCTTTCAAGATCTGGTTTCTTTGTTTCTTCTGCAAGGCTTGGGTACATCACTAGCATCTGAAATTGTCTGAGGTATCCTCTGATGCTTTATGCCCTGATTCTGCAAAGACTTTCACATAGCAATTATCTCAGAGGACAGCAGATAGCTGTAAGATAGCTTACTGGTCTTGCATAGAAAAAAAGTGGTCCTACATATTAGTTCCTGCTTCTTACTGACTGCACAGCCTAGTTTAGTTAATTAGTACCCATTATGCCTCTGGTGTGTCGGGCAGCGATGGAGCTCCTCCACTCATGTACTTTTCTGGCAAGTCTTTCAATGGTTCCCCTGCTGTGCCCCAGATTTTTCAGCTCAGCTTCACCAAGTTGTTTTTGGGTGGCCTCGTTTTCGCTTGCCTTCAGGTGTCCATCTTATTGCTATTCTGTTGATGGAATCACTTTCCATCTGAAAAACATGGCCAATCCATCTCCAACGCCTCCTGGTAATGATGGTGCTCATATCTTCTTGGCGGCACTGTGGGAATAAGTCTTGGTTTGAGATTGTTCTGGGACAAAAGATAGGGAAGGCAGATTGAATGGAATGAAGATAGTGTGTACAGCCTAATATCTTTCTAAGTCAAGGGAGATGTGGTAACCCTTAAATTTTTCCAGCGCTCTTATGGTTTACTGCTTCCCGTCCTGGTTTTTTTGAATGTTTGATTCCTTGTTGTCTTTGAGGGCCCACTCTGAATTCATGGTTCAGCTTAACCAGATGGCTCAGACCACACCCTTCCTTAAAAGCTCTGCAGTCTACAAGAATCGTCTGCCTCCATGGATGGAGACAGTGAAACCTATGTGAAAAAAAGTTATGCCAGTTGGATATGTGACAGTCTTTCCACAATTCTGGGAGCTTGTATAAGGACAACATGAAATCTTTGGTTTGTTCAGTGTCAGACTCCCAAGGGCGTAGGGCCCTGGGAGGAATCCTTGCTTCATTGAAGTTAATGGCTGAATTCTCATTGACTTCCTTGGGGCTCAGATTTCACCCACTGCCTTGGAAGGTCCTCTCTGATGAGAAGGAAAAGGTGAAAGAACTTTTTTCATCACTGCCTAATTTCTGTGTTCCTTCATTGCCTCTTCTAAACAGTCTGCCACAGTGGCAAGTCACAGAGGAAACATGTGCTGTACCTAATGGCTAATTATTTTGTATGACTCAGTGCCAGTAGCTTTCCCAACACTTAGGATCCTAGGGCAGTTCTTCAGTGGCATGTCTGAGATAAAGAATAGGCTAACTTTTATATTGCTTTTGCCTTGGAAGCTAATTGGGAGTATGCTGAGGTGAGAATTGGATGTGTTGTGGAAGGCACAAAATCTTCTGTGACAGTTTCTGTCTACGAGAGAGATCGACTGGTATAGTCGGTGGTGGTATAACCATTCATAGAAACCATTTGCCTTTGAATGTATTTTTGTTTTTTGTTTTAAATTTTATCATATGTTTGGGCACATTTTTTGTTTGCAAGTCCATTACTATCTCTAGTAATGTACTGTAAACAGATTTAGGATTGTTTGATAAAAGGCTGCTGCAAAACGTATAGGAAGTATGAAAATAAGACACAGAAGAATCTTGTTAATTTTTATTTTTGATTGGGAAATCTATTCCAAATTACCAAATTTTGCATATCAGAGAGTAAGCAGAAACACACAAATCAAAAACTGTATCAACTGTATCAATTTATGCTTTGAGCAGTATACTGGAATGTAAATTAACAGGATAAGTAGTATTTTTCTGGTATACTTCCATCCCTGACTTCAGCAACTCTAATGTAGAGCCAGTGGATCTGCTTTGAGTCTGTTAGCTTTCAGTCTGTCTTTGGAGGCTGCATAATATAGAAGACTGAAGTACTAAGATTTGACTAGAATTTTTAACTCTGCATAGCTACTTATCTGTATTATAGTAGATTAAAATGTATAGAAGAACTTGATTAAAAAAAACCCTAGCAAATTAGACCTTATTTATCACTACAACTTAAGCTACTTGATCTGGTGCAAACATTGCTATTTAATAAATATAATTTTATATGAAAGCAATGAGATATAGGCTAGATAAGTACTGTTTCTCTAATAACAGTAGTAATTCATTTATTATTCATGTTACAGTAGTCAAGACTGGGGCCACATTGTGCAACTGTGACATGAATTTAACAAACAAATAAATGGAGTGAGGCAGGGAGAATGAGGGTAGGTAGGGAACATATGTGATTACAGAGACTATGTGCACAATTAGCTGCTTTTGAGTTATTCAACTTTGGATTTATTTATTTATGTATTCAATTTTAAAATCTAAATAAACAAGGAGTACGATGTCAGTAATCCCTACTGGCCACCAACCTCATTTAATAGTATTTGTTTAAAGCTGCATAATTCAGACTAGAGTTAATTTATATATATATATTTTTCTTACAGTGTCAGACAATTTGGCCCAATCTGTAGTCCAGCATCTAAGATGGATAATGCAAAAAGATCTTTTGGGGCAAGATGTCTTTCTTATAGGCCCCCCTGGACCCCTTCGACGCTCTATTGCCATGCAGTACCTGGTACGTTTTAAAACTTTGTTTATATTAATGAGAATGGAAGTAGTTAAGATTATTTAGTTGTTATTGTGTGTGTGGGTGCACGTGTGCATGTGTGTCTATATGTGTGTAGGTGAGTGTATGTATTCTATTACTTGTTGAATTGTAAAAGGTAATATTAGAAAAGCTTATATGACTTGTTACTTAGTTGCCAAAGAACTTATTCCATGCCATGCTTTTCAAAGTTTGGTTTTTATTTTACAATGAATAAAAAGTACAAACATTTAAGTGAATATTTTTTTTGCTTAATCAATTAAATGTTACTAAGAAAAAACAGTTGAAAAAGTAAAGGAGTACTTGTGGCACCTTAGAGACTAACCAATTTATTTGAGCATAAGCTTTCGTGAGCTACAGCTCTGTAGCTCTTTCTTTTTGCGAATACAGACTAACACGGCTGTTACTCTGAAACCAGTTGAAAAAGTGTTACCATATGCAATCACAAATGGAAAAATAGCCTATTCTTTGTATTTCATACTTTTCGGAATCAAGATCTCTGCATACTGTAAAAGACAGTGAGCCACATTGCTTCCTCCATGGAAAAACTGAGGGAAGGGGTTGAGGGAAGGAATACTCTGAGGTTTTCCTTGCAGATTTTCCTCATAATGTTTAGGTAGAGATATGCATTTGTTTTTATCCTCTGTTCCCTGGGGAAAGGGGAGGGAGTGTGGCACCCACACCCTGGATCTAAAGTATCTGCTGGAGGTCTTGTGACTGCACCATGTGTGAGGTTTCCTGCCCACCCCACTATGATCCATGGGTGTGTGGCTTCATCCATTAGCTTTGAAATCTACCACAATGTGCCCTTTTCTGCTTCCTCAAGTTGTATAAAGAAAGCATTTTCCTTGCCATATGTTTTTCTTTTGTTTTGTTTTTTTACATTAGAAATACAAATTGCATCTGTCCTGGGAGATAGTATGGACCATGAGAGAACTGGTATCATTATAACTTACTAGATGTCAAGGAAATGAAATGTAATTAAATGGCAGTTATTCATAAGAACGGCCATACTGGGTCAGACCAAAGGTCCATCTAGCCCAATATCCTGTCTTCTGACTGGATAAGATTGCGTAAAAATTTTTTATGTTTGTGTGATGGTTTGCCCCCATTTGAGATGCCACCTGATGTGCTGAGATACCACTGAACTTGCCTGTTCTGCCAGCCAGTGCACCCTTTTTACCTGTCTTGCTGAGCCAGGCTATTAAGCCTCCTCCAGCACACACACAGTCCGGGCCACACCCAACTGCAGAACGACAGAGACACTGAGATCAGCTCTGGGGACCCAGCTTAAAGGACTTGCCCCAGCACTCAGGTGTCCACTTTCCTTGGGGTGCAGATCTAATGGTTATTATGAAATCTGTCTCCTCCCTTAATGTGGAGGAAGGTATGCACAGCCTCTTCTTCCCCCCCCCCCTTTCCCCCTCAGTTATGAATTACACAAACTGGGTTGTATTATAAACAAGAAATAAGTTTATTAACTATAAAAGGCAGATTTTAAGTGATTAAAGGGGTAGCAAACAGAACAAAGCGGATTACTAAGCAAATAAAACACAACACACAAACTAAGCTTGTTTCACTAAAGAAATTGGTTACAAATAGTAATTTCTCACCCTAGATATTGTTACAGAAAGTCTTGAAAGGCCGCTGCACTGGCCGGCAGCTTGAGACTTCAGGTATTTCCACTCACAGACTGGTCGCCTTCCCAGCCTGGGTTCAGCCCTTCTCCCCTCAGTTCCGTTCTTGCTTCTAGGTGTTTTTCAGTATCTCCTTTGGTGGAGAGGCAAAGGAGAACCATGATGATGTCACTCCCCTGCCTTTTATAGCTCTTGTGTATACAGAAACCTTTTGTCTCCCAGTGGAAGAACACTGGCATTTCCAGGGGTGGGTCCAGTACCAGGTGACTCAGACCAATGTCTCTGCAGGGCTGTGGCAGCCATTACTCGTAGGCTGTCTGGAGTGTCCACAGGAAGACTAAGCTCTTTCACAGCCCATTGTCTTTGCTAATGGGCCATTAGCCCTGTCTGGCTTTTCCATTATTGTACTTGAAGGGCTAGTTGGGAGTGACACCCAAAGTAACACATTTGAAATACAGATACATAGTCAGTATTCCTAACTTCAGATACAGAAGTGATGTTGGCATACAAATTGGATAATCACATTCAGTAAATCATAACCTTTCCAATGATATCGTACAAAAGCCATCTTGCATAAAGTATATCTCAGTTATGTCATATTCATATCATAAACATATTTTCATAAAGAATATGGAGTGAAACATCACAGTTTGTTTTGCTTACAAATGTTCAAATGAACTGTTTGGGAAGAAAGTTCTGGTAAAGATGCAAAACGCTTTCAGCTAAGAGCTGAGAGCATTCTTGGTGTGTATCTCCGAGTCCCCACTGAGGCCTACAGAAGAACAGGAGACCCACCTGATATTCCTGCTATTTCTAAGGTTAAAAAAAGCAAAGTAGGATACAAACATAAGGGGGGAAATTCAAACCTATTCCATAGAACAGCGAAATGGCACAAACCCATTTTTTTGTCTTATAGAGGTAATCTGTTAATTTCCGGATTTAAAACTTTAGTTATTAATATAAATAATAAATACCATAGTACTCAGGAGCCCAGTCATAGACTTGGACCCATTGTGCTGGGCGCTGTATAAACACAAACACAGTCCTTGCTCCAAAAAGCTTACAAAAAATAACAGCATGATTCAGTAGGCAAAAAATGTAGTTCTTCAGCCTACTCACAAGGATGTTTAAACTCAGTGGTTATTTTTCTGAGACCAATATTAACATCACTGAACAGAAGCAGGGTGGGAACTTATAATACTCCTGAACTTAATAGGAAACTTGTGAATTTTTGCTTATGACTCATTGCTTTTCAGTGGCCACTGCTAGAAAGTCATCTTGGAGATAAAGCATTTTACAGGGCTTAGCTATTCGGTTTAGAGAATTTATAGGTGGTTGTTATGATTTTTAGAACAGGTTTGGGGAGTATAAAAATTTTATTGAGCAAAAATTCAAACTGTTATGTGTGAGGAAGAAAACACTGTAAACATCTTAAAACTAAGAGAGATTAAATTTTTGTTCAGAGCTACTTTAAATGACTGTGCTGCAGCCTAGGGTTGTGTAAAAATTTCTCACTACTGCCCACAGGAGCTGACCAAACGAGAGGTTGAGTATATTGCACTATCAAGGGACACCACAGAAACAGATCTGAAACAACGCAGAGAGATCCGAGCTGGGACTGCTTTTTATATTGATCAGGCAAGTTGCTATCACATCCCAAACTTCTTACTGTTTACAGCTAGTCCAAAGGAAATTGCAGTCTGAAAAATCAAAAAGAAATACATTTAAAGCTGTAAATTGGAATTCCAGAAATATTGATTTAAGGTGCTTTTTTCTGTAGACCGAAAGGCTTATGTAGTCCACTTGATTTTGCTGCTTCTGAAAATGCTTCAGCACTGAGGCCTTGTCTACGCTACTGCAGTAAGTTGACCCAAGATATACTACTCCAGTTTTGTGAATAATATAACTGAAGTTGATGTAGCTTGGGTCGATTTACAGCGGTGTCTACACTGTGCTGGGTCAATGAGAGTTGCTCTCCCACTACCTTATGTTACTCTTCTTGGGGAGATGACCGGAGTTGACCGGAGAGCGCTCCGTGATTGATTTAGCGGGTCTTCACTAACTGCACACTGCTGCATTGATTGCCGCAATGCCGATCTACTGGTAAGTGTAGACATGGCTTGAGACCCTAAATTAGCAAAGTACTTAAGCACTGAAGTTAGTGGCACTGCTAATATGCTTAAAAGTTACACACATGCTTAAGGACCACATTTCAGGCCTTAAAGAGAAATGAAATGAACTTATTGGTACGTGGCTACATGCATTTTAAATAGAACTGTGTTCATTAGGAGCATTAATTTAGATACTGATGTTCTACCTACAATAATGAAACTTTCATAACCTAAGCTTTAATTGATGGTAAGTAAATGTATGTGCCGTGTTACTATGTATAAAACCATAACATATCTAATGACCTTTTAGTAATAAAAGGGAATATTATACTCCTCGCACAGGTGCATTAAATCTTAATTTATATTTATAAAGTGCTTTTGAGTTTCTCAGATGTAAGGTGCTATATAAATGCAAAACATTATAGAAGCCAGACACTAGTTTTCTGTAGTTTGTGTGATCCACAGAGTATGGGTTATTTCAAAATAGAGGAGGCTCTATGTAGGCTATCTTGAAATATACCCCAAAAGGATGATATAAAATAATGTATACAATAGACTTTGGATTTGAATTACTTCCATTGGCATAGCTGAGCCGGAGTTGAGATGCACCCCGGGGGGTAAGATTATAATAGACTCCATTGGCAATACCAGGAGGGATGAGCTAGAGTGTCGATGAGAAGCACAATCAGGAAAGTAACAAGTACTTCTCTCTAAATAGACAACCAACCTAATTCTCAATTACTGAGGGACAATCTCCACTCATTGATATATTTCACTTTCCACAATCAAATCTATGTACAACTTTTCATGAGTGAGATACCTGAATATCCAGATTCTAATATCTAAACCGTATTGTTAAATATATTCATCTAAATTTGTGTTATTGCTGATTATGTATTCTGTGTATCATATGACGTTTAAAAACTAACACAATGCTCATCTGTGACTGCTCTGGAGATCACTCTCAACTCTGCTGCACCTCAGCCAGGTACACAGGAAACAGCCCGCCCCTGCTAAAGCCCTGGGAAATTTTGATTTCCCATTTCCTGTTTGATCAGCATTGGGAGCATGCCAGCTTGAGCAGAGCTGATCATGGAGATTACATGCCCCAAATGCGCTCCAGCCTGGTCTGCACAGGATGTGGTGGATTTCATTGCTGGGTGGGGAGAAGAGTCTGTGCAGGCAGAACTCTGATGCAGCAGAAGAAATGCTGACATCACTTGTGGAATGGGAGAGAAGGGCTACACGAAGGACACACAGCAGTGCGGTGTGAAAATAAAAAAAACTTCACCAAGCGTACCAGAAGGCAAGGGAGGCAAACAGTTGTTCTGGTGCTGAACCCCACACATGCCCGTTCTACAATGAGCTGCATGCGATTCTCAGGGGTGACCCTACCCGCACTCCCACAAGCAACGTGGATACCTCACGGGTGTGTGAGTCTAGGGACAACAAGGAGGACAATATGGTGGATGAGGAGGAGGAGGAGGAGAATGGGAGACAGGTGAGCGGTGGATCCATTCTCCCCGAGAACCAGGAAATATTTTTAACCCTGGAGTCCTGTGGGTCGCAGGACATCACGGTGGCTGACTGTGATGCTGGGGAAGACACCTCTGGTGAGTATACAGTTACAGTCAAAGTTCAGTTAAACTTTAGCGGACACACCCATTTGGTGGTATGGCATGTTTACTGTGAAGAAAAAGCGAGGTGCTGTGGCTCTCTGCTTACAAGAGGCCGCTCCAGCTATGCAGATGGTGGCCCCCAGAAAAGACTGTGTATGTGGACTGGGATAGCCCGGGAATCCTCAATGGATATCTCTAGGAAACTTTCATGGAGGTACTCTGCAATCCTTTGCAGAAGGTTTCTGGGCAGGGCAGTCTTATTTCTTCCATCATGGTATGACACTTTTCCACGCAACTCCTGAATTAATTCTGCTGGCATCATTGCGGTACACAGCATAGCAGCATAAGGACTGGGTCTATACCCAGACGCTTGCAGCATCTCCTTCCTTTCTGCCTCTGTTACCCTCAGGAGACTGATATCACATAGGGTTGCCCAGGGGAAATGGGGGAAGTTCTCATTAAAAGTGCTCTTACAAGAAAAAAAAAGGGCATGCAGACCCCCTCCCCCCACACACGTTCAGGATCGCCAAAACACACAGCTGCTAATGTGCCTTTACTGTGCTCGGCATGGATCAGCAAGTAGTTTAAAGTGGCTGATAGGGGACTGGGGCCCCACATGAGAGATTCTGTAATTTGGGAGTGAAAATGTTTTCCCCCCCCACCCCTCCCCTCCACTGTCAGTAAACAGCTTCCCATGGTGCTATGGGGAAATGCTCTTTTTCTTCTAGCTACCTCTGCTTCCGAGATTAGCCTTCCATAAACTTCATAAAAAGTGCGGTCACCCGTGACCATGGGGGGCCTACTCACTATGGCTGGAGCAGCAAAATGGCACAGTGAACGGCAACGGATTCTGATTATGTTGTGGCTTGCACCTAGTGTAATAAGGATTTGGTTTTTTTATGAGAACAGCCTTGCTATGGAAACTTTTTATTCATGTACAATGGCTCCTTTATTTTTTCCTATGACTGACAGAGGGAAATGTGTCCTTCGGCGTGTCATCAACACCTGAAAACAGACTTTTGATGATTAGAAGGAGGAGAAAGAGAATGTGGGAGGACATGTTCACTGAGCGAATGAACGCCTTTGGGACAGCTGTGACAGAGCTGAGAACATGGAGGATTTCACTTTCCGAGAAGTTAGACATGGACATGGAGAGCAGGAAAACTTCCAGTGAGCAAGAGCGTGCGGCGCAGGATGTGGTGCTTCGGATTATGAGGAACCAAGCAGACATGTTGAGGCATCTGGTTGAACTGCAGGAACAGTAACAAGAGGGTAGAGTCCCTCTTCAGACTCTGGTGGACAGCCAGCATGGCGCAGAAACACCCTCCCCAAAGTGTTCCCTGGGGCGTGGACGAAAAGTCCATTACCCCTTTCACTTAATGCATGGGGAGGGTACAAGGAACAGAAGGTGCCAATTCACAGACCTTTGATGGTCTGGAATGCACTATTATGTTACACTGCTGAAAATGTTTCTTCCGTTTCATGTTTACAACCTCTTTTCCCCAAGGTTACCTTTATTTTCTCTTCTCCCTCTTTACTTATGTTTGTTAAATAAAGTAAATGGTTTTGAGAAATAAAAGTTCTTTATTGAGTAAAAGCAGTGGTCTTGGGTTGGGGGTTGGCTTTATAGGGACAGTGATACAAGGCAGGTGAAGGTTTGGGAAAGCACAGTGCAGACAAGCAGCTCACATTACTGTGACTCATTATCGAAACGGCTTTTCAAAACTTTGCTGTGCTCCTCTTATTGCCTTGGTGTCTGGCTCAAAAATGGCTGCAATCTGTCTCAGCTGTCCCCTAAAAATTTCTTCCCCCTTTTTTTCACAGATATTATGGAGCACACAGCAGGCAGCTATAACCATGGGGATGTTCTCTTCACTAAGGTCCAGCCTTGTTAGTAGACTTCTCCAGTGCCCTTTCAAATGACCAAAGGCACATTCAACCACCATTCTGCACTTGCTGTGCCTATAGTTGAACCGCTCCTTGCTGCTGTCCAGCCAATGTAGGGCTTCATGAGCCATGGGAACAAGGGGTAGGCTGGGTCCCCCAGGATAACTATAGCCATCTCAATGTCATCAGTGTTCATTTTGTGGTCTGGAATAAAGTCCCGGATTGTAGCTTTTTGAACAGACCCAAGTTCCTAAAGATGCGCACGTCATGAACCTTTCCCGACCATCCTATATTGATGTCGGTGAAATGCCTCCTGTGATCCAACAGAGCTTGCAACACCATTAAAAAGTATCCCTTTCAGTTTATGTACTCTTTGTCAAGGTGCTCTGGTGCCAAGATGGGGATATGCTCGCCATCTATTGCCCCACTGCAGTTAGGAAATCCAATCGCGGCAAAACCATCCACTATGTCCTGCACATTTCCCAGACTCACTACGCTTCATAGCAGAAGTCAATTAATGGCCCTGCACACTTGGAGCACAGCAGCTCCCACAGTTGATTTACCTACTCCAAATTGATTCCCCACTGACCGGTAACTGTTTGGCATTGCAAGCTTCCAAATAGCGATCGCCACTCACTTCTCCACTGTCAGAGCAGATCTCATTTTTGTGTTGCTGAACTGCAGGGCAGGGGAAAGCTCTGCACAAAGTTCCTAGAAGGTGGCCGTCTGCATTTGAACGTTCTGCAGCCACTGCTCGTCATCCCATACCTGCAAAACGATGCGTTCTTACCAGTCAATGCTTGTTCATGGGACCAGAAACAGTATTCAGCAGAGTGCAGCTGCTCTGTGACTGCCAGCAGCAACTGTGAATTGTTTTTTTCAATGGCTTGCAGCAGGGCTGCTTGCAAGACATTGCTGTGTTCCATGTGGCAGACCCTACTTCGGGTCTGGAAATACTGCAGGAGAAGGCGCGAGGTGTTTGAGATGCTCACAGCAAGAGTGCACAACTGAGCAGGCTCCA